AGAAGGTGGGCGGAGAGAAGAAGGGCGGAGAGAAGGTGGGCGGAGGTAGCGGGCAGAGGCGGACAGGAGATAGGTGAAGGCCGAGGGGAGGTTGGCACGCACACCGGGATGGCGGGAGGAGGCAGATGCGAGGTGGGCGGAGGGCAAGGGGAGATGGGAGATCCCAATGACCGAAGGGAGGTGGGCCGATGCGGACAGGAGGTCGTCGGAGGCCGAGGGGAAGTGGGCGCACACTGTTAAAAAAAGAAAAAAAAAAGAAAAAAGGCGCGGGCAACGGGATGTCCAGCGGGATGGCGGATGTGCGGGCAGAGGAACGGAGCCCAGAGCAGAGGTGAGCGGAGGTGGAGGAGAAGTGGCGGAGGCGGAGAGGAAAGAGAGAGAGGACATGGCGGGAGGCGGCGGACGGGAGGTGGGCGGAGGCTGAGGGGAGATCGGCGATCTCAATGGCGGAAGGGAGGTGGGTGGAGGTGGACAGAAGGTCGGCGCTGGCCGAGGGGAGGTGAGCGCACACAGTTTTTTTCTGTTTTTTTCCTTTTAAAGGCAGGCAGAGGGATGGCGGATGTGAGGGCAGCGGAACGGCACCCAGAGCGGAGGTGAGCGAAGGTGGAGGAAAAGTGGGCGAAGGCAGAGAGGAGATGGCGGGAGGAGGCAGATGTGAGGTGGCGGCGGCGGAGAGGATACGGCAGGAGGAGGTGGACGGGAGGTGGCGGAGGTGGAGAGGAGATGGTGGGAGGAGGCGGAAGGGGGGTGGGTGAAGGCTGAGGGGAGATTGGCGATCCCAATGGCAGGAGGGAGGTGGGCAGAGGCGGAGGCGGACATAAGGTCGGCGCTGGCTGAGGGGAGGTGGGCGCGCACCGTGTTTTTTTGTTTTTCTTTTTAAAGGCGGGCAGAGGGATGGCGGATGTGCAGGCAGCAGAACGGAGGCCAGAATGGAGGTGAGCGAAGGTGGAGGAAAAGTGGGGGGAGGCAGAGAGAGATGGTGGGAGGAAGCGCACGGGAGGTGGTGATGGCGGGAGGAGATGGCCGGAGGAGGTGGACGGGAGGTGGCAGAGGTGGAGAGGAGATGGCGGGAGGAAGCGGACGGGAAGTGGCGGAGGCGGAGAGGAGATGGCGGAAGGAGGCGGACGGGAGGTGGTCAAGGCGGAGGAGAAGTGGCGGAGGCGGGGGAGGAAAGAGAGAGAGGAGATGGCGGGGGAAGGCGGACGGGACATGGGCGGAGATGGAGGGGAGGTGGGCGAAGGTGGGCAGAGGTGGGCGCAGGCAGAACGGGAAGTGGGCGGAGGCAGAGCGGAGGTGGGTGGAGGCCGAGCGGAGGTGGGCGGAGGCCAAGGCTGGAGGTGGCTCTCTCTCTCTGTCTCTCACACACACACACAGGGGATAGGGAGGCGGAGGAGGAGGCAGAGAGGAGTTGGCGGGAGGAGATGGCGGGAGGAGGCGGACGGGAGGTGGTGGAGGCGGAGGAGAAGTGGCGGAGGAGGGGGAGGAAAGAGAGAGGAGATGGCGGGGGGAGGTGGACGGGAGGTGGGTTGAGACGGAGGGGAGATGGGCGGAGGTGGGCGAAGGCGGGCAGAGGTGGGCGGAGGCGGAACGAGAAGTGGGCTGAGGCCGAGCGGAGGCCGGGCAGAGGTGGGCGGAGGCCGAGGCCAGAGGTGGTGGCGCAGGCTGCGGTCTCTCTCTCTCTCTCTGTCACACACACACACACACACACGGGATATGGAGGCGGAGGCGGAGAGGAGTTTGGAGGGACAGATGGTGGGCGGAGATGGCGGGAGGAGACGGACGGGAGGTGATGGATGCGGAGGAGAAGTGGCAGAGGTGGGGGAGTAAAGAGAGAGAGGAGATGCCGGGCGGAGGCAGAGGAGGTGGGCGGAGACGAAGCCACCTTGGAGGGGCCTTCAAGCACAGCCTTGCAACACAGCACACACGAGGCCATGGGCCGCAGGACTCTAGAAAGGGCACAAAGTCACAGGTCGTTCGACGCAAGCAGGGCCATAGCACAGCCTGCCCTGCAACGGGCCAATGGCCAGCAGGTGTCGGGGCCGTTCTTTTAAGACGGGCCCTCTTTTCAACAGGCGCGGCAATCCAGGCCGCCCGCGGTCCTACTGGGCCGATGGCTCGGATCATCCCACGATCTTAAGACTTTAAGATCGCGCAACGATCAAGGTCGTCCACCCTGCCTGACGGCCTGGATCGTCACGCGATCTTAAAGTCTTAACATCTTAAGATCGTGCGGAAATCCGGACCGTGGAGGGCCTGGATCAGCCAATTCTCACGTTAGCGATTTCTGGGGATACAAGGTTGGCCACGTTTGTGTGGTTCAGCGGCAAGTGCCCACACACCCGTCCGCCGCCAGCAGCACACTTGCACATGTACTCTCTCTCTCTTCCCCCCCCCCCCTCTCTCTCTCGCACACACACACACACACACGGTGCTTTCTTGCTTATTTGATCCATAAAAGGGTGGAGGGCCAGAAGGCACTTACCTAAGACAGAGGACTCCACAAGCAAGGAAGCACCGTGTGTGCGTGTATGAGAGAGAGAGAGAGAGAGAGAGAGAGAGAGAGAGAGAGAGAGAGAGAGAGAGAGAGAGAGAGAGAGAGAGAGAGAGAGNGAGAGAGAGAGAGAGAGAGAGAGAGAGAGAGAGAGAGAGAGAGAGAGAGAGAGAGAGAGAGAGAGAGAGAGAGAGAGAGAGAGAGAGAGTTGAAGTTTGTTGAGGAATGCTGAATACAATTGTCCGCAATCATCCACAAGATTCATTCCCCTCTTTTCCCTTTCTCAAAAAGGATACAAGAGGCAAGAAACACCCTTTGAACACACGATTTTCACCAGAGGAGCTTTCCACACCCTAGGAAACAAGGGAAAAATGAGTGCTGCTCTTTGCAAAGATCCTTGCTTACCTCTGTGCGAGTAAGTGCATCCTCTTCACCAGTTCGAGTGCTGGTTATCACCAAGTTGTCCTGCGAACGAAAGGACAAAAAAGGCGGATGGAAGTCGTCAGAGCATGAGAAGCGCTGTGAACTACTGGATCAGTAATAACAAACGAAAGTCATTGTGAAGGGCTTAGCTCAGTTGGTACACCTATAAACTTTTGAGGCGCAGACCTGAATTCGAATCCAGAGAAAGAAGAGGAAGTCACTGTGAAGGGCTGTGAACTACTGGACCAAAGAATAGAACGCACCCATGCAGAAGACAGGAAAGTCTCCATCAGCGCAAAAAAGAGTGGGAATGAATGTGGTGGATGCTCTGCGGGTTATGATCCTTGTCCCTTTCATAACACAAAATTCAAGTTTGAATCAAAATGACCTGAAGCAAAGTGCAGCAAACAAAAGAATGATCGAGTAAGAAGAAAAAGTACAAAACATTGGAGAAGATTCAAGAAGATTCAAGAAGATTCAAGAAGGCCGAAACAAGATTGACTCTAGAGTCTATAGTCATCTCCCCCCTCCCCTCTCCACGTCCCCGCCCCCCCCCCCACAAGAAAAAAACAAAGGATTGGGAAAGGTATTGGGCTTGACATAAGCTAACCTGGCAGGCACTCCTGCATTTGGGAGTACTCAATGCGCTCATGGGTCCCCCTCACAGTCATAGGTCAAAGCTTTGAGTGGGTTGACATGTTTGTCTGACTTGCAGGTGGAAAGCAACTGGACCGCCACTCCCCCGAAATAGGATGGAGCTTGACAAATGATAAGCACAAAATATCTGCTGTATCCAGTCCATGAGGCTGAATGGTACAAATCCATAACTGTTGATAAACAGACCTCAGTTCAAACCCCGATGGGATCAAATTACTCTGAATTGCCTGGGGAACGTCAGTTTGATGACGATACCTCAAGGGCGTCACCCCTTCAAAAAAAGAAGGCTACAAACATGAGGACCTTGAATCCGTGCCGATCATCATTCATGACACGAACACCAACTATGACCACAATGCTGTGACAATGTTCACACACTTTGCGTGGCACTGGACAGCTTTACTATAGCATCATCCGTTGGCTCTATCGTAACTCAAGTTACTCAACCACCTCTTGGTGGTAAGGCAAGACAGAGAGGACAGCTTTACCATAACACCATAACACCATCGCACCATCCATTGGTCCTTAACTCTATGGTAACTCAACTACTGGCAAAATGCTCGGTCTTTGCGTTAGCCGGACCCCCACCGGCGGCCCCACCCCATCTCTGACTACCGCTGTTGGGGCGAGGGGCAACATGAATTACCTCGTTTGCGAGGCCCTATGCTTGCAGGGGTCCCCTGTATATAGTCTTAGGAGTAGTGGTAGGAAGGTAGTGAAAGGCGAAAAAAGAATTTGAGAGAAAAAAGAAACAAACTCTGGGTGACTAGCAAGACAGGGAGGACAGCTTTACCATAACACCAACACCATAACACCATCCGTTCGTCCTGAACTCTACGGTAACTCGACAACCTCTTGGTGGTAAATCAAGACAGGCAAGACGGCTTTACCATAACACCACGATAACACCCACACCATAACACCATAACACCATAACACCATCCATCGGTCCTTAACTCTATGGTTAATCGACAACCTCTTGGCGGTGAAAAGCAAGACAGCAAGGAGAGAAAATCGGAGAGATGGAGGTTTGGGCCTTTAGTTCTGGAGCAGGATGAAAAGGAGCAGTGAACATACACACTCATGAATTACACACCGTGCAAGATTCCCCAGGCTAGCTAAGCAACAACAAAGGAAATTCCCCAGGCTACGCAACAACAAAGGAGTGGTAAGCGCCAAACCGATTCGAGCATCTATAGTATCGAAATGACACACAGCAATACTCCACGGCCTTGAGATCTCCGATAAGCTCTGCCTACTGGCTTACCCTCAAAATGTTTCGCGTGGCACGTGTACTAGCCATCCTCAGGACTCTTTGGCTACCCTCTTCCCCCGAACACGACACTTGTAAAACGAATACAACGCATCGGTTGCTTTCTACTCGAAAACACGTGTGTTCTATCCGAACAGCCCTAATTTCCGAATACAACATATACGCATTCTATTCGAGTCTTTGTATTTTTGAAAACTCGAATACAATGCATATGCATTATGTTCGGGGGAAGGTGGTAGAGCCAGTACTACCCACCCTTTTCATCCATGCCCATTGCAACCATGCTCATGACCATCACATCGACCTCTGCATGTGATGATGGAAAGCACCACCAGGACACGAGCACATCATCATATAAATGATCACACTCTCCGACAAATGAAGCTGTCATGACAAACCACTCTGAACTTACGAGTAGTGCGACACGGGGAATGATGCAGATGTGGACTGCCGGGACCGGCATGGCACCTTGGACAGGATGACAGGGGATTGTGAAACGGTCCAAAATTCTGCGAAGTCGAGAGGGGGCCACTGAATCTCCTGAAGTAATCTCTCTTACCTGCCAATTCCTTGCTCGCCCTTGAACCTTAAGCTGCCAATCAGCGCCCACCAGCTTCAGGTCAAGTGTTGGGTCCAAGCCCTGCATGTGCAAACGAGGAAAAAAATAGTGTCATTTTCACAGCCACATGCAATGGACCGCGTCAAAGATCGAAGAATATGTTCTCCGGGCAGCTGCCAAGAAGCGGGGCCAGAATGAGCAGATAACAAGACAGCCCGGCACCGCTCCGCTGGTGTATAAAAGGCTTCAGAGCTAGGCTACCAGAGTGGCTCGGGACCACTTGCCCAGCCAAGCCTTATTTCATTTTATTTTTTATTTTAAATTTTAAATTTAGTAAAGACTTTCGATGTGATCCTCAAGCAAAAGTTGTTTAGGAAGGCTGCCAAATAATTGACGAAGAAAAACTAAATACCTTTAGGAAGGCTGCCAACACTACCAAGGGATTAGTCCGCACCTCGATGAAAAAGTATCAGTCCCATCTTCCTCGAGGAGATAAGATGATTAAGATCCCTGCCTGGGATGATGAAAATTCTGAACCTTGGAAAGATCTCTGGATCAGCAACCAGCTATGCAGGCAAGGCTGAAAAATAACTCGTGTTTGCAAACACAGTGACAAGGTCACTTGGTTAAGGACTGTTTCCACCTGAAGGGAAACAAATAAGGGGCTCAGAGAGGCTATCAACACTCCTTTCTGCGAGGGCAGCTGAGGCATCAGGGGAAGGTTTTTCTAAGGGACCTGAATCCGATCTGCAGTCTATCCTTGAAGCCCAGTCTTTTGCTGCTTCCAAGGTTGTGCCGCATAGAGTCTTGTATGAAGAGCCTTGGGAGGAGTCCACTGACGTAGATTTCCACTACCGCATGGAGCACTGGGCCAAGCTTAGGCAAGGCCAGGCCCATGGAGGTATGGAACTGATCTATTTCAATTTTCAAGCTCCTCGTTAACCGTACTTGTATCTGCACATTGATTGATTGTCGTGCTATGACTAACTACTTCTCTCCAAGTTTGAATTCGTAAGGCGGACCTTGGGATGAAGGCCGTGGAACCGTCGAAAAGACTCGAAATCCTTGCCGGACTGAGGTTGGCAACCAAGCAGTTGTCATTTCCACACATGCGGTCAACGGTACGCACACTACCTTTGCTGCTGCTGATTGCGCAATGGGTAGGCACACATGCACTTATCTTCTACATCATGGAGGCGTGGCCTCTCAAAGCGGTCATTGGCTTCGGCTGCCTCAAGGCCCAATGTCAACAAAGTTGAATGAACCCTAATTTGTTTTCCTTGATGTTGAGGGACGCGAGCGCTGTCTTCTTGGATGAAACACACGAGTCCTCAGTAACCTTTTTGAATGCCATGCAATTCTGGCAAAAGTGGTGCAAACATGACAAGACTGAACAAATGCATACAGCCTTTGTCAAACCTGCTCATGCCCTATCTACTTCTTTTGTGGATGCTATTTTAAACGATACTACGACTACCGCTACCACTTCTGATGGAACTCCACAATCTGATTTTTCTCCAGCTTCATTTAATTTTTCTACGCTCTCAATGACTCTCATCTAAAATCCCAGCAAACATTCACAGTCTTTTGGATCAATTTTCCTGAGGTTTTTGGCTGAACTGTGCTGAGGAACTTAGACACATCTTAACCCAGACATAATCTCCTTCCTTAGGAGTGGCAGGTCTGCTTCGCCGATTGGCAAATTTGATCATGGCATCTTGTCGCTTGTTCATTGCCGCAATCGCAACATTGAGCAAGCGTTGGTACTTCACTGTGTATCCAGGCATGCCAGGATTCAGACCAGCAGGACGACGAGGAAACAAGAAAGCAAGAGGGTTGCAGATCCGCCAACCTTATTGGTTGGCGCATTCTGAGAGTCGCGCGGGTTGCGGGATGGATGAGTTGTTATACGACCCCTTGAAGGCGTCCACAACTCTTCATTCCATGCGTTCCGGTCAGGGATAATCAAAGCACGCAGGAGTTGGGTGACAATGTGCTTTACTTCTTCTGCTTGTCCATTAGCTTCCGGATGGCGACCAAATGTCATGTTCAGTTTGATGCCATAGAGTTGGGTAGTGAAATCCTTCCCATCGAACTGATGAATATGGTATCCCGATCTCTTACAAGAGTTTTCGGGGTGGGGTGGGGGGGGGGGGCAAACTGCAAAATGTACTTCTCAAACCCAGATATGACCAACTCAGTCGGTGCATGTGGCGGGAGAGGAATCAGATTGACCCTTTTGCTGAAATCATTGATTATAAGTTATAACCATTGATGACTTGAGAATAATCCCTTTTACTCACCTTTTCCATATCCTCATAGTCAATAGACTGACTCGCCGAGAGAGGAAGGGATAGGCAAAATGATCGTTAGAGACCGAGGGGTGGTTGTCGATGGATTTTTCATTTTTTATCCTTTCTTTGACACTATACATTCCTCCCAAGTTCTTTTGCACAGATTCCTCCATGCCAGGCCAGTCAAACTGCTGCACCAAACTTCCTTGAGTCCTTTGGAAGCCGACATGTCTCAAGAAGTGAGTTCGAAGAGGCACATCATTAATAACCCACAATCGATGAAACAACAAACCCTCACACTTGCGATATAGTCAGGCTGACTGCTAGGATCAGCCTTAATTTGCTCAAGGATCGAACCATATTCCGGATCCTTGGCGGTGTGCTCCACAAATTCCTCCTCCAATTTCTTCTGGAGGTTTAAGGAGCACACCAGGCAAGTCATATACTCAGGGTGGTGGGCCAAACCATCTGCAAGTCTGCAACACAATTACTAGACAAAAAAGAACAGCAGTTTTGAGCAGACGCATTAGAGGCTACGTCAAAATGACACATGGGAAAACAATGACAACAACATGCAGGCAAGGAAAACAAATGAGCAAGCCAAAAAAAAAAAAAAAAAAAAAAAAACTATACGATCCTGTGAAGGAACAAGTTATAGTCATGGAGAGAGGCAAGGAGGTGAGCATATGGCTTACCTGTTCTGGTTCAAACTTCGCCCGGTTGGGATGGTCACGATTCAATCTCAACTGCATCATGCAAGGCAAACAGCTGTGTTAGAGTTTCACAGTGCCGTAGCACTTCGTCAGTATCACGATTCAATCATCGTGGGGTACTAGACATCTATCTATCTTATGGTCAATGTAATCATCAAAAGGACAAGGGAAGAACAGGCCAAGAAGATGCAAGCGAGGAAAGAGGTTTAAAAAGAACCACATCTAGAGTGTGAAACAGATGGCCAAGACTAAGCCCTACACAGCACACAGGGTAGCAAAGGCTCTGTGCTTGAGTGGTGGAATTTTACAAATCCACCCTTGAAAACATCTCTGCAATGAACCCACCCTAATGCTCACCTTTTCAATAGACTTCACAGATAAACTCAAAGGAATGTGAAAGGGAAACAACGAAGATGAAGAAGGAGAGACTGATGATAATCTTGTTAGTAATCAACAATTACAAAACATATTTACCCGCACGAGCCGCACATTTGTGCGGAGTTCCGTGCGCAGTTCCATGCAGGGGGTGCCTGTGCGGAATCATGCAGGTTTTTTATTTTTATTGTTATTATTTTCTTTTTTGGGGACGGGGAACGGGGGGGCGTATGACAGGAAGATGGGGATATTGCAAAGAGAGGGGGATATGGAGAGGAGGAGGAGGATGTGGACGAGGAGGACGGCGAGGATAGCGAGGACGGCGAGGATAGCGAGGACGGCGAGGATACCGAGGACGACGAGGAGTCGTCGAGATGGGGAAGGAGAAGAGATGGACGGAGGGAAAAGAGGAAGGGCAGGAGGAGGAGGAGACATGGACAGCGAGGAAGGGGAGGACACGAGGAAGGGGAGGACACAAGGAGGCATGGATGATGAGGAAGTACGAGGAGGAGGAGACAAGGAGGATGAGGAAGGGCAGGAGGAGGAGGACGACGAGTCGGAGGAGACGAAAAGGAGAAGGGAGGAGGAGACATGGAGGATGAGGAAGGGGAGGAGGAGCAAGGTGGGGCAGTACTCCTGTATTTTTTTTTTTTCATCTCGGCGATGATCTCGCTTATAATTTTGGCAGTGCGCCTCAAACGCATCGTTTCAACCCTGGCCTTTTTTTTTTTTTTTTGAGGGGGGTGATGGGTCGTTCCCCGCGCATGTCGTGCGCTGCACACAGGGAACCGCCCGCACATCGTGCGCTTGCAAGTATATTACAAAATCGTTTCTCCCCAGAGGAGGAGACATGGAGGATGAGGAAGGGGAGGAGGAGCAAGGTGGGGCAGTACTCCTGTAAATTTTTTTTTCATCTCGCTAAGACTTGCTTATAATTTTGGCGGGGCGCCTCAAGCGCACCATTTAAACCCTGGCCTTTTTTTTTTTTTTTTTGACGGGGGTGATGGGTCGTTCCCCGCACACGTCGTGTGCTGCACGTAGGGAACCGCCCGCACAATGTGCGCTTGCAAGTATGCTACAAAATCGTTTTTCCCCCGTCTCCAACCGCAGGATCTTCCACTACTCTCCACTCCTCTTTGTCAACAACAAGTCCCTACCAAGCCAGCACCCAATACTGCTCCTGTCTCGCCGCTCCCATCAACAAACATCTCCCCAGCACTGCTTCCTCACAGCAAGCACCAATACAAACAGCATTGGAAGCAACAATACAGTCTCAGACAATGTAACATGCCAACATGCGGTCATCAGGTAAACGCAGTCTCTCCACATGCCAGACCTTACCTCTCTCTCTCTCTCTCTCTCTCTCGCGCGCGCGCGCGCACAGCAAGCGCCAATACAAACAGCATTTGAAGCAACAATACAGTCTCCGACAATGTAGCGTAGTGCGGTCACCAGGTAAACACAGTCTCTCTCCACATGCCAGACCTTACCTCCTACCGTCTCTCTCTCTCTCTCTCTCTCTCTCTCTCTCTCCCCCCTCCACACACACATTGCACACTAATAACTACGAAGGCAACAGGCTCCCTTCCTCTACACACTGTCATAGGAGGCAGAAATGAAGAGCCATCAAGGATGCTTACTGTAGCATACATTCAAGAGAGGTCGATCAGATGACCAAGGCAGAGAAGGATAATGGATGGAGAAAAAGTATTGGCCACTACACAGTTGAACGGAGTGCTACCTGAAAAGAGAGAAGTCACACAACGGCCAAACATCTCTACCCTGGCACTTAGCACTCATATACAACTCGAGGCATTGACCCAAAGTCCCTAGGACCTAGGTGGACGACAATAGCAGAGCACAGAATTGATCACCAATCAGGACATTGCTATGGAAAACAGCAATCAGAGCCGACGTCATACCTGAGTGGCCACAAGGTTGACATCTCCATTTATAAAAGTCAATGTTCCTTTGGGCTTCACTTGCTGTGAATCAGCATATCCATTGAGCTCCAGCTCACCACTAACCTGTTTGCATCGACAAAAACAATGTGAGTCTTCTGTCAGAGATGTACTAAGTCCTGGCCAGCATTTGCAAGGGAGACTCAGACCACCATCGCCACGAAACTCGTCGGCAGGCATGAAGCTATACAAGAGAGCAACAGACTCGATGACTTTTTGGATCCTTGTGTAGAACAATTCATGTAAAAACCTTGTGTCAGAAATAGTGACGCTTTAAGAAATGAAGACCCAAAAAAAAAAAAAAAAAAAAAAAAAAAGACTGCATGTGCAGCTTATGACCAACACTTCACTAGATGAAAAAAGCTCCATAAGTGATGGGCTAATTACGGCAAAACTGTCAAAGCAATTTACAAAAAGACAATTTGGCCAAAATATCCCAGCTCAATATCCGAGTTTGCACTGAAATCATTGAAATGTATTGTTTGCAAGTAGTCCTCTGGCAACAGCAATAGAAGCACACATCGGTACAGCCCAACAACTGTCCAATGGTCAGGAATTTTACGTCGCAATCATTTTGATACGACCACGACCAATATGACGAACTGTGGAGGATAACTGACTTTAAAATCCCTACACTATTAAAATCGCTAAGGGGACAAATCTAACATCCGGGCCGTCGTTGGTCCTACGGGCCCACGGCCCAGATCGACCGAATCATGTAACAAATCTGTCATCCGGGCCGTCGGGTCCTGCCGGATCGACGGGCCGGATTGGAGCGCGGTCTTAAGATCTTAAGATCACGCGTCAATCCAGGCTGTTGGCCCGGTACCTTGGGCCCGACGGCCCAGATTGATCAGGCAGGGCCTGATGGAGGCCTTTCGCCGGAAACCGGTTTGCTTGCCCGTTGGAGCGGGCCATTTCTGTGCACGGGCTTCCCAACGGCCGAAGTGGTTCCCGTAGGCTGCCCTTTTGGGTGGCGCCACAGGAAAATCCTACGCACGGCGGCGCGCACGTTTCGACCCCTACGCTACTCTACGCTCGACTTCGACTTTACTACTTTCTTGCACTACCACACTCGACTTCGACTTTACTACTCCACTCTACACTGCGACACTCGACTGCGACTTCACATGTGTCTGGCACATACACACACACACACACACACAAACACACACACACACACACACACGACATGGTGAGACTGTCGGGGTTCAACCTCCTGATGAGTCGGTGGAAGTCCGACGAAACAGTTTGGCTTAGTCGTGCTTTTTTTATGGAGTTGTGTATAGCGAACATAACTACACAGACACAGACACAAACACACCCACAGAGA